AAAACCTCCAAAAGTTGGGGGAAAGGGGCGAGTTTTTAGATATTTTGAAAAAACGTGTTTTTTCGAAACTTTAAAGTGTAATTTGAATATGAAGACGAAGTCGGGGGAAGTTGAGTCAGTTACAAGGTTGAAGCACCACAACATGGAGAATATGATAGAAAAAGATTTGAAGTCGTTCTGACATCGGGGAGGGTAGATGTGCCTGTTGACAACTTTTTTGTCAAAGTGGTAACTTTGGATTTAAGGTGTTTAGAAGGGTCTGTGCAAAAAGTGGTTGGGAGAAAAGTTGTAGAGCAAGGTCGGTTTCTTAAGAAAAAAGTTTGTTTCAAGTCAATTAGATTAACAGAAAAAAAGATATGGAGTAAAAATTGAAATTTTGAGTATGATGCATATAAGTGACCTTAACTATATTTTGTTTTGGAGTTAGAAAAAAGTGTTGGGAATTGAAAGATAGAGAATTAAATTCTGCATCGAATAAGCTTTGTTTTATGCTTTTTCGACTTTTTTTGAAAAAGTTATGAATTTTTTAATAAATTATAATTTTGGGGAAAACTTTTTAATTTTGACGATTTAGACCGTCCGATCTGGAAAGTTAAGCAACGGTGAGGCGTTTTTTGTAACTTTTGAAGTAGTTATCGGAAAAATATGATTGAGGTGTCATTCGACGTGTAAAAATCAAGCGAATTTTTTTTAAATTTTTTGAAAAGGTCACTTGAGTCTGAGGGTGGAATATTTGAGTCTGAAGGCTAAAATCAGTGGAAATGAATTTAAAAAATTCTAAAAATTAATAAGAATATTAAAAAATAAATTTTTAGTAAAAAGTACACTTGAGTCTCATTTATACTTTCAGTCTGGGACTGAAATTTTTATAAAATTTTATAAAAATAAGGCAAATTAATTTATAAGTTAATTTTACGTTTAATTTAATTTTAAAATTCGTAACGCGTTGCAGAAAACGCGTTGCCGGAGGCAACCGCTTGAAATAAAAATTATTTTTTTTTAAAATTCGAAACGCGTTGCAGAAAACGCGTTGCCGGAGGCAACCGGCAGAAATAAAAATTATTTTTTAAAAAATACGGAACGCGTTGCAGATAACGCGTTGCCGGAGGCAACTGCCAGAAATAAAAATTATTTTTTAAAAAATACGGAACGCGTTGCAGATAACGCGTTGCCGGAGGCAACCGTCAGAAATAAAAATTATTTTTTAAAAAATACGGAACGCGTTGCAGATAACGCGTTGCCGGAGGCAACTGCCAGAAATAAAAATTATTTTTTAAAAAATACGGAACGCGTTGCAGATAACGCGTTGCCGGAGGCAACCGGCAGAAATAAAAATTATTTTTTAAAAAATACGGAACGCGTTGCAGATAACGCGTTGCCGGAGGCAACCGGCAGAAATAAAAATTATTTTTTAAAAAATACGGAACGCGTTGCAGATAACGCGTTGCCGGAGGCAACTGCCAGAAATAAAAATTATTTTTTAAAAAATACGGAACGCGTTGCAGATAACGCGTTGCCGGAGGCAACTGCCAGAATTAAAAATTATTTTTTAAAAAATACGGAACGCGTTGCAGATAACGCGTTGCCGGAGGCAACCGTCAGAAATAAAAATTATTTTTTAAAAAATACGGAACGCGTTGCAGATAACGCGTTGCCGGAGGCAACTGCCAGAAATAAAAATTATTTTTTAAAAAATACGGAACGCGTTGCAGATAACGCGTTGCCGGAGGCAACCGGCAGAAATAAAAATTATTTTTTAAAAAATACGGAACGCGTTGCAGATAACGCGTTGCCGGAGGCAACTGCCAGAAATAAAAATTATTTTTTAAAAAATACGGAACGCGTTGCAGATAACGCGTTGCCGGAGGCAACTGCCAGAATTAAAAATTATTTTTTAAAAAATACGGAACGCGTTGCAGATAACGCGTTGCCGGAGGCAACCGTCAGAAATAAAAATTATTTTTTAAAAAATACGGAACGCGTTGCAGATAACGCGTTGCCGGAGGCAACTGCCAAAAATAAAAATTATTTTTTAAAAAATACGGAACGCGTTGCAGATAACGCGTTGCCGGAGGCAACTGCCAGAAATAAAAATTATTTTTTAAAAAATACGGAACGCGTTGCAGATAACGCGTTGCCGGAGGCAACTGCCAGAATTAAAAATTATTTTTTAAAAAATACGGAACGCGTTGCAGATAACGCGTTGCCGGAGGCAACCGTCAGAAATAAAAATTATTTTTTAAAAAATACGGAACGCGTTGCAGATAACGCGTTGCCGGAGGCAACTGCCAGAAATAAAAATTGTTTTTTAAAAAATACGGAACGCGTTGCAGATAACGCGTTGCCGGAGGCAACCGGCAGAAATAAAAATTATTTTTTAAAAAATACGGAACGCGTTGCAGATAACGCGTTGCCGCAGGCAACTGCCAGAAATAAAAATTATTTTTTTTTTAATTCGAAACGCGTTGCAGAAAACGCGTTGCCGGAGGCAACCGCCAGAATTAAAAATTATTTTTTAAACAATCGGAACGCGTTGCCGGAGGCAACCGGCAGAAATAAAAATTATTTTTTAAAAAATACGGAACGCGTTGCAGATAACGCGTTGCCGGAGGCAACCGTCAGAAATAATTTTTTTAAATTCTTTTTTAAAAATTCTAAACATGCGGGCCGAAGGCCCGCATGTTTAGCCGAAGGCCCGCATGTTTATTTTATGACTTAAATTTAAAAATTTATAACTTTTGAACTATTAGTCGTAGAAAGATGGTTGAGGTGTCATTCGATAGGAAATTGAATGGGGAGTTGGATGAAAATATTTTTATAAGTGTCACTTGAGTCTGAGAATAAACATTTGAGTCTGAATATACCAAACACTGGGAAATTAATCCAAATTAGTTCAAACGATTTGTAATAACGCTGGAGTCAGCCCTTATACCCAAAAGCTATTAAAACTACTCAGCAATTCGCGCCGAACGCTGGTTATTTATTTGATATATTTGGAGCAAAGGGTGGCTCGGAACAGTCAGAAGTGTCGGAAATCGGAATTCCGACCCGCCTCTGATTTGGAGGAGAAAAAATATTATTATTTTTTTTTCTGTGATATCTCAAAGGTGTGAAATATTTGGTAGATGAATGGAAAGTCTTGAAATGACGTATCTCGTGTGGATATCTTTGCTCAAGAGATTTTTGAGATAACTATTTAGTGAATCTGATAATTAAATTTTTAATTTCAAAATATTTTTGTGGAAAAGTTTTTGAGAGATTCTTCTTCCTTTCATTTTCTTTTCCTTTATTTCTCTAATTTTTTGCCTTTGGCCATTTAATAAAAATCTTATTTTTGAGGAATCATTTACTGACAGATGCTTTGATGAGTGTAATATATATTTTTATATACTTTTTTTATGTAATTTACCTCATTTTCTCTCCTTTCTTTCTTCATTGAATCACGTCCATTTTCTTTCCTTTAATTCCTTCTTAATGTCAGTTTGAAACAAATAAATACACAATCCTTCTCTCACTTTTCTTCTAAATACCCCCTCCCATTCCCCCCTTCCCCCTCACTTTTAATTTATTTATTTTTATTTTCTAATTTTGCTATCATTTCCTCTTTTAATATTTTCTAAATGTACTTCCTTACCAATTTTTCATCTGATTATTTGGGGGAGGCAAAAATATTTTTCTTTTTATTTTTATTGTCAGTTGCCTCTCTTTACTAATTACTTTTATTTTTTAAATTAAATCAATTTTTAGAAATATTTAATTCAAATAAAGCAATTAAATACATAAATACATATGTATATTTAATTTAATTTAAAAGGAAGAATTGAATAATTATTTAGAATTATAATAATTATTCAATTATTACCACTTTAATAGCCCCCTCCCCCTCCTCCAATAGCCCCTCCCTTTGGAGGATGATTGAAAAACACAATGGTTGGCCATTCTAATAGAGTAAATGATGTATATAAAATACCTAATTTATTCACCTACTTTTTTAACATTTATTTTTATCATTCGAGAAAGAGTGATTTTATCATTTTTCTTTTCGTTCATTTAAGCTTTATTTTAATTAATTTTTACTATTTTTATTCCTTCTTTCTTTAATTATTTTAATTTAAATTACAATAATCATAAACTTCAATTTAAATTTTTATTGGAGGTCGGAGAAATAAACCAAAAAAATATTTTTTATTTCCCAAATCTTTTAATAATTTTCTATAATTTATTTGGTTTTAATAAAATAAATAAATTTTGAATTAATTAAATTTTTAAATAATTAATTAATTTTTGATTTTGATTAATTAAAGTTTAAAAAAATTAGTTTAATTAAAAACAATTAATTAATTTTTTATTTACGATTATGTTCATGATAAAAAAATAAAAATAAATTATTGGAGGTCTTTTCGGCGTAACTTTGTAGAAATACGAGAAAGGAATTGAGAACTCAGAAATTTTGTATTTAATCCATAATTGGAAGAAATATTTATTTTTTCTTTACTTTCCTTCTTTCATTAAAATTTTTAATTTTTTATTCCAAAATTTTCGAAACTTATTGTCTTGAAGAAATAGGCATTTTTTAAATTTAAATATTTAAATCTTTCAATTAAATAACTTTAATTATTTATTTAAACAAATTTATATTTGGCAAAGTTTGAAATTCTCACCTTTTTTAGTTATTTGCGCCAAAACTTTTCTTTTCGTATTTAATTTCCTTCTACTTACATAAAATTAAAAGAAAAAATACAAAAATAGTATTTTATTTGGAAGGCCATTTTTAGTTTAAAAATTAAAAATAAAATTTTCTTTCAAAAATTTTTATTTAAACTTTATTTTTTTGACATTTAATCTTATTGAAATAAATTTTATTCATTTTTTATAAATTGATTGAAAAAATAAAAACTGGAACGTTGAATGATAAAATATAAATATTTATTTATTTTTAGATTATTTAAAAATTAATTTTATTTAAATTTTATTTTTATTATTTTTTTAATTTAAAGAAACAAAAAATTAAAGAAAATGACTAATGTTTGGAATAAATTAACAACACAATTAAGTAAGAGAAAAATTAAATTAAAAATTAAGAATGTTAACAATTCATCTAAGCTTTTTAGATGTTAATTAAATTAAAATTAAACTGACTAATTACTAAATAAATATAACAATTCATATCCATAAACCTACAATTTTAAAAAAAAATTCCCTTACCTATTCAAATAATTAAATAACAATTTATTATGCTAAATTTAAATTATTATAATATTTTACAAAATTCTTTAAAATATTTAGGTACTTGGCTAGCTGATGTCCCTCCAAATAAAAGAAAAAATAGAGAAGACGAGAATATCGAAGAAAGAAATTGTAATTTATTTTTAAATTTTAAATTAATTAATTAATTTAAAGGCCGTCTTCGTTCAACAAATTCCCTTTCCACACTTAACCAAAAACATTTAATTAAAGCAGCAACGGCCGCAACAAGATCAAAAAGCTCTGAAAATTTGAATAGAATTAATTTAGGGAATAAACAAGTAAATTAAGAAAGAATAATTTTTTTTAAATTATTTTTAAAAAGTTGCTAATTTCTTCACTAAATAATTGTGAACTAAATGGGGATTATCGTTGTCCTTGCTGTCAACAACCTACAAATTTATCTTCTCCTTCTGCTGCATTTTCACAAGCTTTGATATTAAATAAAGTAAAAAATAAATATTTTTAAAAAATATTCTGATTTTATTAAAAATTATTTTTAAGGCAAATACTAGCACAACAACAACACCAAAAAATTCTGATATTCCAAGTAATGGATTTTGTAGTGGAGGGAAAGAGAGTGGATATTCTAGTGCTAGTCCTAGAAGGTATAAAATAATTTTTTAAAAAGCAATTAAAAATTTTTAGAAAAAATTTGCACAAAACAGCTACAGTTGGTGTTGTCGGTAATTTAACATCAGTCACAACCTCCTCTTCTGCTTCTCAACAATTTTTTCAAAAATTTCGTTCTCGTGAAAAAAATCGAGAAAAAGATGGTTAAATTAAAATAAATAAATTTGATTAATTCTAATTTTTAAAGAAGGTAGAGACAGTTTCTATTGTTCTTCGTCTGCTGCAACTTCTGGGACTTCAACCAGCAATAATGCAACAAATAATACAAACTTGGGTGTAAATGGTAGTGAATGTAACTTTAGTTGTTGCACACAGAAAAAAGGGTAATTCTGATTAAATTCTGATTATGTTCAAATTTAATTCTGATTTTATTCTGATTTTTTTAGTTGGTGGCGCTCTTCAGTTCATTCCCATTTAACAACAACAGAAAAGGAAAACACAACAACAGAAAACGAACAAACATTAAACGACCAACAACAACAACAAAACATTCATTTTAGACGTCCATCAGAACCGACAATTTCAAACGAACAACAAAACATTCAAAAAAATAACCAATTAAATAATTATTCTGATTTAACTCCAAATTATTTAATTTCTCCCCCAAAAAAGAAGATTGGGCCAAAAAAGACAAAATCTACTTTTTCTATTTTATTTCCACATAATGTATTTTTGTATTAAAATTAATTTTTAATTAAAAAATTATTTTTTTAGTTTCACCCACACCTTCCAATGAGCTTTTCTTGGAATAATAATTTATCAAGTGCTTCTTCCCCTTCCCATAAATTAACAAAAACAAAGAAAACACAACAACCGCCTCCTGATCCGGCACCCGAATATTGTAAAAATAAATTTTAATGACTTTTAAAAAAATTAAATTTAAAAGTTGATGAATATAAACAAACTGTGCGGGCAACAGATGAATTTGGGGAATTTATTCAACCTAAACAACAAAATGGGGATATTATTAATTTAATTAATAATAAAGAAATGACAGAACAACAAAGGAAACATTCTAAGAGAAGAAAACAGTCTTCCTCTTCAGGACAAAAGTAAATATAGTTTATTGTCCAATTAATTGGCTTTAAATGAACAATTAATTGTTTTAATGTTTGAATATTTTTTTGGACATCAATCACATACATTAATTGGGTATTCCTGGCGTTTGAGGGGTTGCCGCCTCTTACCATTATGAGACTAATGTGAATTTTTTTCATTTTTCTATGTCGTAAGTCACCAGATTTACCTATATCAATTAGGACCTATCAAAAAAATCTGGTTTACAAAAAGATATAATGATAAGAAACTGCGCCCCCCTAAACGGCAGGAGTGCCATTAACTGTTCTTTATTTTAACCAATTAATTGTTCATTTTTTAATCAAAATCCATACTTAGTTAACTTTTTCTCTCTCTTTTAGACTAGTCAATGCCCTTCTGTGGGGCCGTTGGCGTTCCAATTCAAAAAATAAATATTGTAGTAACAAAATTAACGGAAAAGTAATAGAAACAGTTGTAATTAACAACGAACAATATGAAAAGTCTGGGCGGAAACAAAAACGTTCACGTTCCGTCGGGGCAAATCAACAAATGCGTATATCGACAACGTGAGTATTTTTATTTAATTTTAAATTGATTTGTGTTTGTTTAATTTTAATTTTTCTTATAAATTTTGAGTAATAAATAAATTTAGTTTAATTTTGGGAAGGGAAGATTAAGTACAATAACAGTATAATTTTATTCTAGTCCTACAAATTTCAGAATTTTTTTAATTTTCTGATGTTTTTTTCGAAAAATTCAAAATAAGCGAATAAATTATTTTCTTAAATTTTTTAGTTGATTCTTTTTTATAGGCCTCATTTATTAATTAAAATATTATCCCAATGATTCTGTCTATTTTTAAATCCTTACATTTGATTTAAAAAATAATTACTTCTTTTCCAGAATGTGTTCTGGTGCCCTTCCAATGGATTCCTCAGAAATTGTTGGAGTAAAGAAAAATTCCTGTTGCAGTAATGGAGAGGAAAAGCATTCTTTAATGTTCGGAAATATGTCTTTTTTTGATGATGTACATCCTGCTTATTGGGGTGCCAAAAATAAAATTAAATTAAAAATATTTTTTAATCATTAAAGGTTTTCGTACTCCACAAAGCGAAACTTATTATTCGTGTACGGGTGCTATTGAAGATGAACCTAAAGTGGGGGGATTTTTTTGTTTAAAAAATTAATTTTTTGAATTATTTTCTAGTCTCCCGCCTCTTCCGGTACTTCTTCCTTTGGAAGCAATAGAAATTCTTTGGATGTCTTTAGACGTCTTGAAATGTTAGGCGAAGGCAGTTATGCTGTAAATATTTTTTAAATATTTTTATTTTTAAATTAAATATTTATGTAGACTGTTTGGAAAAGTGAAAATCGAATTGACGGGTCAATTGTTGCTTTAAAAGAAATTAGACTACAAGAACAGGAAGGACTTCCATTTACTGCTATCCGTGAAAGTGAATAAAATAATTAATTTGGTGGTTACTAAGTTGATTGGCTTCACTTAATTTGTTATTAGCTTAGGGAATGGGTAGAATTCAAAGTCACATTCCTCAATTCACTTGAAAATTTTCCGATAAAATTCAAGAAAAAAATATTCTTTCAGTTTCTCTTTTACGTGCACTTCGTCATGCAAATATTGTACGTCTACATCAAATAATCATTCAACAACCAAAAGCTTTAGTCCTTGTTTTTGAATATATGGTAGGGGGGAATTTTGGAAATTTATTTTTTTTTAATTATTAGAAAACTGATCTCGCCAAATATCTCGAAAATTATTCTCCAAATGGTTTGGATCCATTACAAACTAAAGTTCTTTTATTTCAATTACTTCGCGGGTTGGCTTTTTGCCATGAAAGGAAAATTTTACACAGGTAAATTAATTAATTCATTATTTGTTAGAAAATGCTCTTTCCTTCCCATATTTTCTTTAAAAAATAAATATTATTTTAGAAGTAATAGTTTTATAAAAGAATATTTTCATCCTTTCATTAGACTAAATATTTTTAAATAAATATTATTTTATTTCAGAGATCTCAAACCCCAAAATTTACTTCTTTCAATAGAAGGAGAACTTAAATTAGCAGATTTTGGATTGGCTAGGGCTAAATCTGTTCCTAGTCGAACATATTCACATGATGTTGTTACTTTATGGTGAATTTATTTAAATTGTTTGTGGGGAAGGGGGGGGGGCTAGTGGGAGACTTTGTTTCCTATGATAGTTTCCCTATTTTTTATTCGATTTTGGCTACCTACAAATGATTTACAAAAAATATACTTTTTTTAATAAAATATTTTTTTAATTAAATACAGGTATCGGCCACCAGATGTACTTCTCGGTTCCACTGTTTATTCAACTTCTTTAGACATTTGGGGGGTTGGATGTATTTTTGCTGAAATGTGTAGCGGTTCTGCTTTATTTCCTGGTGCTAATGAGGTATCTGATCAACTGTGAGGGATTTTTTGAAAATTTTTTAAAAATTTTTTTAAATTTTTAGTCACAAAATATTTTCTGTTCGTGGCCTTCCAAATTTGGAATTGTGGCCAGAAGTTGTTAATTTACCTAAATGGTCACTTTTTACTTTTCCAAATACTTATATTGAACTCGATTTATTAACTTATCAGCCAGCTTTTTATAAATTGGGTGATGAAGGATTAAAATTAATTACACAGTTATTACAAGTAAAAAAACAAATATTTAAAAATTCAAATAAAAGTATAGACAGTTAATTAGACCTCTGAGGGATATTTGCCCTATTAATTTTTGTTAATTCCCTAACCGGCAATTATTTTTGTGACACCTTCCCATAGGTTTAGGTTAGTTGATTATACTAGAGATCGAGCTGGACCAGGACCAAGTCCTGGGTTTTTCCTGTACCAAGAGTCCAGGTCCAGCATTTTTTACCTTCCGGGTTTTTCCTGGACTACAGGCCCAGGATCCAGTCCAGGTCAAGAAATCAAACTCCAAGTCCAGGAACAGGTCCAGGCTTTTCAAAAATCTCGATCTCTAGATTATACCATGTTTTCTATAGCTCGAATTACCTACGTCTCCTTCCCCTTTCGTGCCTTTCCGTGGCGAAGTTTTTCTTTAAATTTTAATTTCTCCCACCCACTTCCCTGAATTAAATTTAACATATGTAAATTATATAATTTCCATCTACCTATTTTTATTAACAAATATTTTGTTTAAAAAAATATTTTTTTAAGTTAAAACCAACTGATAGAATATCTGCAGAAGGGGCAATGCTTCACAAATATTTTGAAGAATTACCAAAAACATTACATGCTTTATTACCTAATGGTTATTTAGTCTAATTAATTATTTTTAATTAATTAATTTATCTCTTTTAGAATCAGTATTTTCTGTAATTAAAAACTGTCCTTTTAAATGGAATAACAACAAAATTAAAAATTTAAATAATTATTTTGATACAAAATTAGTACAAAATATTGATGGATTTACAAATAATTATTTTTGAAATTTTTTAAAAGAAAAAAAAAGAATTTTATTTAAATAAATGTGAAGAAGAATTAATTGTTTTTTTTTTGCAATTTTTTATTTTATTTTTTTCGCTTTTTATCGTTCAGCTTTGAATAAAATTTATTTTAAAATTTTTGAAAATATATTTAGTCAAACTAGATATAACTAACACAAAGGATCTGAAGAAAAAATTTGTTAAATTTAGGGGGTTTTCGACTTTGTCCTTTTTAAAATTTTTATTTATTCTTCTTCCCTTTCATTTAATTATTTTTGTTGAAAACTATCTAGAGAATTAAAAAAATTTATTAAAAAATTTTTTAGGAAAGAAAATATTAACCATTAAAAATAGGCTGATTTTTAATCTACTAATTTGTAAAGAGAACTAAATTAAAATAAAATTTGTATTCATTAGAGAATTGTTTTAAAAGAATTTTGTCTTCTAAAAGATATATTTCCTTATTTAAATTAATTTTTTATAGAGATTATTCTCCTCCTCCCTCTCCTCCTCCCTCGCAGGAAAAGGTTTTTTTATTTTATCTTTTTTATCTTTAAATTTTTTTTCAAAAATGAGACAAAAAAAAAACTGTGAACACAAAAACATTGAATACCCCTCTTCCCCCAAATTCCTTCTTCAAATTTTATTTTTTTTAATCTCCAAACGTCTCGTTTCAACTTGTGAATCTTAAAAAGCTAAAAACTTTTTTAATTAAGAAATTGTTTAGGAGAGAACTGGTTGTTAAAAATTTTTGTTTTTGTTATAAAATTATTAACAATAATGTACATAATCCTTTATATAAATATCTTAATTAATTAATTAAGAAGTTGGTAATTTTATTTATAAATTTATCAAAAACAAATATATTTACTAAATTCAATCTCATTATTCAAAATTATTTTCAATAAAAAATTATTTATTTAAATAATTTTAAAATTATTACAGCAAATATTTGACACCAAAATATTCCAAACAATTTTTCAACTTTCCCAATTTTTCCAACACTTTTTTTGCCTTCTTTTAATATCTCATTCATTCCCTAGCATTTACATGCATTTCCCATGAGGATTTTTAAAAAACAAAAAAGTGTGTATGGCTGTACTTTTTGTGAAGAATTTTGCGGACAGATTTTTTTAACAAAAATTTTTAATTAAAAAATTTTCTCCGCAAATTTTTTGTCTGTTCGAACAGTCAGAAAAAAAATAAAAAAAATGTTCCTAGCTGCCATTTTAATTCATTTGCTTTCCGTTAAGGGAGAAAAGGAGAAAGGAGAAGAAGAAGATAACTTTTTCATTTACATAAATTGTTTGGAATGTTTTAAATAAATAAATTAGTTAATATTTCTTTGCTAAAAAGCTTTTTCTTAAATTAGAAATCTGTGTTAATTCCCTTCTCAATATATTTAATTTACTAATATTTTAACGATTTTTTTAATAAAAAAGAGAGAATTTTTAAAAGGAATTACAGTTATATAATGGAAATTTAAAGGAGTATGTATTTATGGATTCGGTTTTCCTGTATTTAGGAAAAATAATAAATTTAGGGTTGACAGATCCTGGGAGATCCCTGGATATCTAAATCCGATATCTGAACCTAAAATTTCCAGATATCCGGATTTTACGGATCTAACTATCCGGATCTACCTACTATTTATACCTATTACCAACCCTACCTACCTATATCCCAACAATTCTCCCAGAATTCTTATTACCGTATTTTTTGTATTAGAGCCCCACGCTGTATTAGAGCCCCACGCTGTAATAAAGCCCCACTTTGGAGGATAGTTGAAAAATAGAGCCCCACGCTGTATTAGAGCCCCACGCTGTAATAAAGCCCCACTTTATGAAATTTTCACATACCTAAGTTAATAAATTTATTTTTAATACTGTACAGCCTTTTCTATCATTTCCAGTCAAATCAAAGCAGTTCATTCCAGTTAGGTTCTGTCACTGGAGGCATAGATTGATTAGAGTTCAGCGGGATCGGGATCTTGGTCGGGATCGGGCGGGAGTAAGCCGGGTTTTTCAAATCCTGATCCCGATCACGGCCAATCCCGAGGCCGAGATCGGGATTGTTATGTGCATCAGATCCAGATGCAAATCCCGATTTTATAAATTGACTCGTCTGTGAAATAAAGTAGAGTAAGTCGAGTTTGAGCATTTTCGAGTTACTCTATCTGCCCAAAAAACTATAATCTGCCCAAATCCCGCTTAATACCTTGATATCCTTCTCACTCCTCTTATCACTCGATATCCCTTTAATCTGCACGAATCAACGAAATAATATTATCCATTGATTTTCCACCCGGAGCCCGGAGTCAACATGGAAATACCTTCTTAATCACATCTATATCCTTTCATGGGACTGAACCGGAATATATTCACGAGAGATTGAAACGTACGGACTGAAGAAAAATAGAATCGAACCTTCAAAGGCTCGATAGGATTCGAACCTTCCACAAATTAAAATTCCAATTCGGCCTTAAATCTAACTCAGATGCACTTAACCGCGCCTTAGTGTACACGCGTGACTATCATATTTGGAAATATCTCAATGTTGAAATTTGCTTTTGTGATTAAACTTTAATTGATTGGATAAATATAGTTAACCGTATAATTGAAAATCCTATTACTTATTTTCAAGAATAGGTTGAAAAATAGAGCCCCACGCTCTATTAGAGCCCCACGCTGTAATATAGCCCCACTTTGGAGGATAGTTGAAAAATAGAGCCCCATGGGGCTCTAATACAAAAAATACGGTAATTATTAAAAACAAAATATTTTTAATTTTCTGATTTTTTATTTAAAATTTCTTTAAAATAAAAATAATTCTCTAAATATATTTATTTAAAGACACACCTACATACATACATATTTTTAAAATACTATCTCGTCAGTTGTTCATTTACTTTATTAAAATTGTTTGTAAAATATTTTAGCTACTTTATTTATTTCTATTTACGTAAATTTATTTAAAAAAAAATTATTTCTATTTTTGTTATTTTTAAAAAAATGTTTCTTCTTAAAAAATTTTATGAATGCCTAGACGAGAATAAAAAAACTTTTTGACAAGTTTTTTTATTTAAAATTTTGATTATTTTATTTTATTTTTATCCTTAATTTAAAAATATATATATATATATATGTATATTAATAATTATTTTTAGGGTTGTCGGTTCTGGACCGAACCGAACCGAAGAACATAGGATTTTTCGGTTCCTTTCTTCGGTTCGGTTTCGGATATCCGAAGGATTTACAAGAACCGGCATTTATTTATTAAAAAATAAATTCTGTTTATTTTCTTAATCATTTTGTTTTTAATTAATTTATTTTTAATTTGATTTTATACTATATAAAATTCATTTTCCTCTTTTTCTCTTTTTTTACTTCCATATTTTTTATTTTTTTGCAAATATTTTTAATAATTAATTTATATATAATCTTTTAAAAAAATATATTTTAATGGATTTTATACACGAAAATCTCTTCTTCTTTTCTAATTTCACAAAAAATATTTTATCAAATAATTTTATGACATTTCTTTCAAATATATTATTAAGACTTGTTAATTAGACATAAAGGGATTTTAAAAATCGGAAGCAAATTTTGTTTTGATTTTATTCAAATTTTCGATATTTATGTATATAAGTCCATATTTTGGTATTTTTGCTCATTCTTCGTGATATTTAATTTATTTATAATTTACAATCGTTTCACACAAAGAATTCACACACAAGTTTATTTTTAGAAAATAAATTCCAAAATAATTTTTATAAATAAACTAAAAATATACCTACTAAATTACCTACTTAGAGACCCTTAAAATTGTATAAAATTTATTTTTATTCAAAAATATTTAAGTATTTCCTCTACTTATAAATATTTTTATAAATAATTTATCCATTCCTCCTCTCCCTCCTCTCTTTCAACCATTTTGTCAGATTAAATTTCTTTTTTCCGTTTTATTACCTTTTTGGTAAATTGTCTGATAAAAAATATTTTTAATTTAAAAAAGCAACAATTTTAAGCTTTTTTTGTTTAAATAAATTTTGTTTAATCATTAATTTTTAAATTTCTTAGAAATAAATTTAAATAATTTTTAATAAACTTTGGTGGTAATTTTGAGAATTATTTACAATTTTAAATTTAAATTAAACAAAAAATAAATAGGTATTTTATTTTCTATTTTTTCTTAATTTTTTCCCTTAACATTTCTTTAATTAAAGGACATAAACTTTTAATGTTTAATATACCTATTATTACTGATAAATAACACAATTAACGATTTACCATTTTTTTGGTCATTTTAGGGATTGTGGGAATGTTTTTAAAATAAAATAAAGGTACGAGAATATGTATAAGAAAAAAATAAATCTTAAAAAAGGGAGGAGAGGGGTTGAGTGTTTAGCTGTTAATAAATACATGTAATCTTTCTCTCTTTTTTTCAATAAATTTTCCTCTTTATTTTCTTACTAATTCGCGCATTTTGCCTTAAATTTACATTATTTTTTTCATTTTTAATTTAAATATTTTCCGTGGCTTCTTTATTTATTATTAGGCTTCTTATTTTCTTTAACAAAAGAATATAATTTTTGTTCATTTCTTTAAAAAAAATTTTTTTTGATAAAAAAAATAATAATCTTTAACAATCATCCTTTTTTATTAAGGAGTTAGTTTATTTAAAAATATTTAATTTTATTAATTAATGTTTAGAATATTTAATTAGAGAAAAATCATTTTAAAATAAAGATAACTCCTCTCATCATTTTTTAAATAGAAATCCAAAAAAAATAATTTTTCTAATTAGCATAGTTAAAAAGTAAAAAAACTTTTTTAGAATTTTTCTTTAAAATTATAATTAATCCAACCTTTTATTTCCTACCATATTAGAAATAAATGCCTTCATTTATTTTAATTTTTATTTAAAAGATTATTTTATAGGTTACTAAAATGTTAAAAAAATTTTTATCTTTATTTAAAATTTTTTAGAGCTTAAAATAATTT